ATTACTCCTGACCTCCTTGTAAGCACCCATGATCTTCCTTCAAGGTAAGGGCTTTACTATGTGTCTTGGGTTGCAGTAGCAGGTCAAGCTTCTGGGCCAGACACTTGTGGCTCTTTGGTATCTCAGGATGTGTAGAATAGAGAACGGAAATAAATCTCTTGTCATCTCTGCTATACGTCTTTTTGAAAAACAAAAAAGTTTCTGCCTACCTCACTAAGTTCATCTTTCTCATATGAACTTCAAATCTGTGCACAAACTACTTTCATAGTCCAATACTGTGTAACCACTTTTAAAAAGTTTCACGGGAAACGGGAAGAATGATCACTTGATGGGAACCTTTGTGGAGATGTCAGTATAGATACGTTCAATGGTCTCACAAATATAACAGTACCTAGATATTACCTACTCCCAACAGGTCTGGTAAAATAACCCTGATATTTTGTTTTAATATTCAATGTCACCAATTACTTATAATCTCCTATTTTCAACTGCCATACAGAGATACAGCACCATCCTGTTGTCAGCTTTTGGGATGGTGCCACCATCAATCCTTAGGAGCTTTTGGATTTGATTACTTTTTTAAAAAAGATTTTATTTATTTGAGAGAGAGAGATTGCACGTGAGCAGGAGCGGGGGGTGGGGCATAGGAAGAGGGAGAAGCAGACTCCCCTGAGTAGGGAGCCCGAATTGGGGCTCGATTCCAGGACCCAGGGATCATGACCTGAGCCCGTCTGATGCCTAACCAACTAAGCCACCCAGGCAACCCAGATTTGATTCCATTTTAATATGTCCTACTTACTCCTGCAAGGGTCTACATCTACAACAGCTATTTACTTCCAGTACTACAATCACCCTCCCCACCCCATTCAATCTTTTGTTTATGAACAGTACTGTTAATCCCTAAGGACCATTGTCAGCCCTTAAAGAGGTGAGCACGCAAATGTTTTAACATCAGACTTGTTATTGCTTTTAGGAAAATATGTAGAATACTTCGTAAAATTGGACTGGCAAAAATCAAGCTCTGTTGAACCACACTTTTTAGGGTCTCTGTCCTGGTGAGACATTAAACTAAAAATGAATTAAAATGTTTTCAGTATTAGATGTTCCACCCCAAAATTCTTTCAAGTCCCGCTAAAGTGGCAACAGATCCTAACAACACATCGACAAGCTAGAAGGATCTCCTCAAGTCAAAAAGCCAACAGCATTCTTTCCTGGGTCCCATTTTATCTCAGGAGGGTTCCCATAGGAGACCAAAACAGTGAGACTAAACGAGTCCTTACTCTGGGAGCGAAAAACTGATCCCAAAGAGAAGACCCATCAAATATAAGCTCCAGAACTGCGGTTACTCAATCTTATTAGTGTCTTCTACGCCCTATATTCGTGAGGGAGCACGAAGCAGAGCGCCAGGAGAGTTTTGAGTAGTGAACTGGTCACCTGCCTTAAGAAATGTCAATTATCTTGCCGTGTGTATTCAACTGGTTTGACTGCTGCGACTCGTGCTTAATTTCCCCTTCTTTGGCATCTGGCTATTTGTTGTCTACGCTTTGCATTTCATCTCTCCAGGTTCCGTAAGGGATTCGCCGCGAGGAGGGAGACCCACCCACTCGGCGCTCCTTTCAGAGAAAGGAAGTCAAAGATAATGCAAGGCCAGTATTCTGGCCTTTTCCTGGAGGGGAATGGCAAAAAAGGGTAGAGGTCCCAGAAGCTTGGGCACTATAAAGGGGTCCCAAATCAGACAGGGTCGAAGTTCACGAAGGAGAGGGTCAAGGGTCAGGAAAACACAGGAGAAGGAATTTGGAGGCAAGAGTGCAGAGACCTGCAGTGGCATTCAACTAGGAGAAGAAAATCCCATCGCAGACTCAACGATCCCCTCCCGTCAAGCTATTTCCTCTCTTACCAGAGCCTGAAGGGCCAGCAGCGACGACACGACAAGTCTTAGTGGCCGAAGGATTCCCACTTCCGACTCAGCACAGCAACCGGAACTTACATCATGACCAGGCGCCGGGCCTTGTGGAATCTTATCCCGGCGCCGGAAACAGGGTGTGCCGCTCTGCGCGGGGAACTGGCGCGCAAACAGCTTCACGGCGCACGCGCTAGCGAGCTGGGCGGGGCGGAAGCGGCCGGAAATGGCCTTGGGCTCCGGCCGGGGTGGGTCCGGGGCGGGTCCGGGGCGGGTCCCGGGAGGGTTGGTGGGGCGGGAGCATGGGGATGGTTTGGAGCTTGGTGAAAAACGAGGCGGGTTTTGAAATCTGGTGTATAGCCGGAGGCTATGACTTGGTGATCCTTGGCGCCGCTGGCAACCTCTGTGGGCTTTTGCTTTCTATTTTTCCCGCCAGTGTCATGCCGTTTTAAAGCAGCTTCTGTTACTCTTCATAGATTATTATATGAGGCAACAACAAGAGCAATAACAGCAATAACGATAACAAAGTTTTGAGCTCTTATTAGGTGTCAGGCAGTGTGCTAAGATATGCTAGTGTTGGATTTCAGTTTTATCTGTAAAGTGGTGACAACATGCGTGCTACAAGGTTACTTTGAGGTATACAAAGGCAGTGAAAGCAGCATTCTTTTCCAGAGTGCAAGTGAAGGGGCGCCTGGGTGGCTCAGTCGTTAAGCGTCTGCCCTCCGCTCAGGTCATGATCCCAGGGTCCTGGGGTGGAGCCCCGCGTGGAGCCCTTTGTGTTCCCTCTCTCGCTGTGTCTCTCTGTCAAATAGATAAATATAATCTTTAAAAAAAAAAAAAGTCCAAGTGAAAAGACAATTCATAGAATGAGACAAAATATTTGTAAGTCATATGTCTGATAAAGGATTAATGTCCAAAATATATAAAGAACTGTAACACAACAACAACAACAAAAACACACAGTGATTCAAAAATGGGCAATGGACTTGAATAGACATTCCTCCAAGGAAGATATACAAATGGCCAATAAGCACATGAAAAGATGCTCAATGACACTAATCATTACAGAAATGCAAATCGAAACTGCAATGAAATAATACCTCACATCCTTTAGGAAGTCTATTATCAAAAAAATGGAAAATAAGTGTTGGCGAGGAGGAGAGATAAGGAACCCTTGGGCATTGCTGATGGGATTGTAAAATAGTGCAGCACTTTGGGAAAATTTTGGTGGTTCCTCATATAGTTAAACATAGAATTACCGTATGATACAGCAATTCCGCTTCTGGGTATACACCACAAAGAATTGAAGGCAGGGACTCAAACAGATACTTGTACACCAATGTTCATAACAATATTATTCAAAATAGGCAAAAAGGGGAAACAACCCAAAATGTGCACTGACAAATGAATGGATAAAGAAAATGTGGTATATACATACAATTGACTATTATTTAGCCTTAAAAAGGCTGAAATGCTAATACATGCTACAACATGGATAAACCTTGAAAACATTATGTTATGTGAAAAAAGCCAGACACAAAAGGACAAATACTGTATGATTCCACTTATATGTGGTACCTAGAATAGGCAGATTCATAGGGATAGAAAAGTAGAATAGAGGTTACCAGGGGCTGGGGGAAAGGAAGAATGGGGAATTATTGTTTAATGAGTACAGAGGTTAAGGTGATGAAAAAAGTTCTTGAAATGGTTGGTGGTGATGGTTGCACAGCATTGTGAATGTACTTAATGCCACTGAATAGTACACTTAAAATGTTTAAAATGGTAAATTTCATGTTATGTATACTTCACCACACATACATATACACACACAGAGCTCTGTGCAATCTTTGAATGCCTGTCTTGTTCCAGCATTATACTAGTTTCTGAAGATACATTAGTAAAAAATACACAAGTCTTTTCCTTCCTGGAGCTTACAGTCTGGTGACCGTGTAACACCATTTAAAATCAATGGGAACAAAATGGATCATTCAAAAAATAGTTCTGGAATGGTTGGGTAGCTATGTGGTGTGAAAGTTAGTCAATATGTTAGGCCTTTACATTAAAATTAATCAAGATGGATCATTCATTTAAGTGTATAATATGAAACCATAAAAATGTCAGAGGAATTCATAGGAAAACTTTCTTTTTTTTTTTTTTAAAGATTTTATTTATTTACTGCACAGAGAGACACAGCGAGAGAGGGAACACAAGCTGGGGGAGTGGGAGAGGGAGAAGCAGGCTTCCCGCCGAGCAGGGAGCCCGATGTGGGGCTCGATCCCAAGACCCCGGGATCATGACCTGAGCCAAAGGCAGATGCTCAACGACTGAGCCACCCAGGTGCCCCCATAGGAAAACTTTTTTAAAAGAATAATCTTTTTTAAAGAAGATTTTATTTCTTTATTTGAGAGAGAGAACAAGCAGTCAGGAGTGGCACTCCCCACTGGGCAGGGAGCCCATTGTGGGGCTCAATCCCAGGACCCTGGGATCATGACCTGAGCCAAAGAGAGATGTTTAACTGACTGAGCCACCCAGGCGCCCCTAAAAGGATAATCTTAACTTGGGGAAGACCTTTCTAAATAGGAAACAACCTAGAAGCCACAAAAGACCAGTGAATTCTACTATATGCAGATAAATAAAATGTACATAGAAAACCAATCATCATCGTCAAAGAACAAATACCAAAATTGGAATAATATCTGCAACTAATATCACAAACAAAAGATCTAATTTCCCACATATGTAAAGGGCTGTTGCAAGTCAATAAGAAAAAGATAAAAGGATATGAGCCTATATATCATGAGAAGGAAAAACACATGGTTCACTTCCATTTTTAATAAGGAAAATGTAAATTAAAACGACACTGAGATGCCATTTTTAACTTATCAGATTGGCAAAGTTCAAAAAGTAGGGAGTAAAAGGCACTCTCAATTATTGTTACTGGGTGTAAACACTGGTCCAACCTCCATGAAGTGCAATTTGGCAATATTTAATAAAATTACAAGTGCAAATACATTATGGCTTCCAAATCTCATTTATTGGTATTTGTTATGAATTGTCGTAAGTATGTTCAAAATGACATTTGACAGAAGTAAACCCATGGAACATTAAAAACTACAAAAAGAAGACATAGGAGAAATCATCATGACCTTGAGTTTGTCAAAGATTTCTTAGGCATGACATCAAAAGCACAATCCATAAAAAAAAAAAAAAAGGGTAAAATGCACTTCATCAAAATTAAAAATTTTTGTGCTTCAAAAGTCACCATGAAGAGAATGAAAAGACAAACCACAGACTGGCCGATGTATTTGTAAATCACATATGTAATAAAGGACTTGTATTCAAAATATAGAAGAACTCTTTCAATTCAACAGTAAGACAAAGAAACAACCCAAATTTAAAAAAAAGATTTGAAATAGACGTTTCACTAAAGATATGGCAGACAAGCCCATGGAAAGATGTTCAACAACATTAATCATTAGGGAAATGCAAATTAAAGGTACAATAAGATGGTACAAAAGGTACAAAAGAATGGCAGACAAGCCCATGGAAAGATGTTCAACAACATTAATCATTAGGGAAATGCAAATTAAAGGTACAATAAGATGCCATTTTATACCTAGAAGAATCGGCTATACTAAAAAAACAAAGTAACAAATATTGGTGAGGATAATAGAGAAACAGAAACCCTCATCCATTGCTAGTGGGAACGTAAAAAGGTACAGGGAATTTCTTAAAAAGTTAAACATAAATTTGCCATACAACACAGCAATTCTTCACTCCCAGGTGTCAGTCCCGGAGAAATGTAGACATGGGGTGCACACAAAGATTAGCGTGATCTTTTTTTTTTTTTTTTAAAGATTTTATTTATTTATATGACAGAGAGAGACAGCGAGAACAGGAACACAAGCAGGGGGAGTGGGAGAGGGAGAAGCAGGCTTCCCGCCGAGCAGGGAGCCCGATGCGGGGCTCGATCCCAGGACCCTGGGATCATGACCTGAGTCGAAGGCAGACGCTTAACGACTGAGCCACCCAGGCGCCCACGATTAGCGTGATCTTTGACATGAGATTGTCCAGCACATTTTATAATTAACAGCATATTGTATAATTCCATTTATATGAAATGTGTAGAAAAGGCAACTCTGACAGAAAAGAGATTAGTGGTTGCCTGGGGCTGAGAGTGGGAACAGGGAATGACTGCAAACAGCAGAAGAAATCTTAAGAGGGTAATGGAAATGTTCTAATGATTGTGTTGATTGCACAGCTGGGTAAATTTTGTAAAACTTACTGAGAACAGGAGAAATTGCTTAAAATGAGTGAATTTTCTAGCATATAATTTATACCTCAATACAATTATTTTTAAAATGACATTTATACAGTGTTAGTCATTGCAGTATTTTAAGAGCAAAATATTGGCAGTAATATTTTGTCCATTAATAGAGGACTGATTAAATAAATCATAGTGAGTCTGTGCAATGTGGTTGCATTTAAAAAAAAAAAGGCGCTCCTTTACTTGCTGGTATGAAATAATCTTAAATTTTATTAGGTGAAAAGTGCAAGATGTATAGTATGGTACCATTTGTGTGAAAAATAGGGAAGGGAAGAATAATGTGTACTTAAGAGTTTGCTTATGAAAAAAAAAAAGAGAGTTTGCTTACGTATGCCTAGAATACCTCTGATTTATAATACCTTATAGACCTAATAAAGATATATAAGAAACTAGTATATTGTTTGTCTCTGGAAAGGACAGCTGAATGGCTGGGGATGGAGGTGGAGGGAGACCTTCATTATATATTTGAACCATGTAAATTATGACTTATACAGAAGGTAAATCAAAATTAGAACTTTAAAAAAGTAACATTCAAATAGAGGGGGTTATTTGACCTTTTCAGTTTTCTTTTACAGAAAAATTACCTCCCAATAGGTGGCGCTCCTGCAACACCATACATATTTTTACTTTACTTTTAGTTTATTTTGAGAAAAATCCAAATTTGCCCTGATGGGCTTTTTTTCTCCATTTGTCACCTTTGGGAGACTTGAATCTAGATTTAGGGCTGACCGTCTCTTTGCTAGGAGTGCTGCAAACCGTATTGCCATGTTTCTGAGAACTATTCAAAGGGAGAACACCTGGATCGAAAAAAGACAAAATTGGAATTGGTTCAGAAAACCAAATAATGCTTGGGTCCTGTTTTCCTGGGTGAAACTTGATTGATTGAATCAGAACTTCTGATTGATTGACTGGTTGATCAAAAGGTTAATATAGGTCAGTGGTTCGTAACGAATGCTGATTTTGCCCCAGAGGATACACTGGAAATATCTGGAGATATTTTTGATTGTTACAACTGGGGATACTACTGGGATTTGGTGGACTGAGGCCAGGGATGCTGCTAAAAACCCTACAATGCACAGGACAGTCCCCTCATGACAAGGGATTATCAGTCACCCACCCTCTCCTAAGCTTATAGCTGTTTGGAAAAAGGAGATAGACTTGGCAATAGATGGGAAGGCAGGTAAAGGAAAGGTGTTTTTTTTTTTTTTCTTCTTCTAGAGAGTGAGAGAGAGTGAGCGAGCACTGTGGGGGAGAGGGAGAGGGTGAGAGAGAATCTTAAGCAGGTTCTGTGCTGAGCACAGAGCTCAGTGCGGGGCTCGAGCTCACAACCCTGAGATCATGACCTGAGCTGAAATCAAGAATCAGACACTTACCCTACTGAGCCACCCAGGCGCCCCAGGAAAGGTAATTTCTTAGAATTGGTGTAGAAGGACACACCTACTTTGAGTCCTGAGTTCAGTTTTTCCTCAATCGCTTTCCTTCAAGGTGGCCGTATTGGTCATTTTCCCGATCTCTGAGGGGCTAGAAAGGACAGCACGGTCATAAACTCATTTTCCCTCCTCCTCTGTGAATTAATTTGATGCATATTTATTGAATGCTTTTCATGTGCAAGGCTTTGGAGTGGGTGCTTCACTGTCCTGGGGGTGGAAAGAGGACAAGGAGGGTGGAGGCTCTGTATACAGTTTCTTTGTGTGTCCCTCTCTCTGTGTTCTTCAGCTTTTTCTCCCTGGGTCTTGACCTCAATCTCTCTCAACCTTTCTCTTCAATTCATCCATTCTACCCAAAGTGTAACTATGTAATCATCTGGTATGCCTTAAGCAGTTCCTTATCTGTATAGTATCCTCTGAATAACTTGTCCCCCATCCCCCAATTGTACTTCTAACTGTAGCAATGTCTCTTTCATTCCCCCTTCCCTTACCTGGTAAAGCTGGTCATTGGACAACAGAGTCTGCTTGTCTGAAGCTACAAAAAATAAAAATAAAATACGCAAGGTAGAATGGTGAAGAAATTGGGTTATATTCACAGCACTAAATAGCAGTAAGAGTGAAATACATCTATATACAACAAGGCGGAAAGATCTCACAGGCATGTTTTTTTGAGTAACAGAGGCACACACACAAGAACACTTCTGGAGTCCATTGACATAAGGAGTGAAAACAGGCAAAATTAATCAACATTCTTAGAAGTCAGGCTAGTACTCGCTTTGGGGGATAGGTACAGGCTGGAACTGACCACAAGGGGGACGTGTAGGGTGTGGGTAATATTCTCTTTCTTAAACTGGATGTTGGATTCATGGGTGTGTTTGCTTGTTTAGCTGTATGCTTGTCATTCATGCATGTTTCTCTCTGTAGGTTTTGGTTCAGTTAAAGAGTTTTTTTTAAAAATTAGAGGAATCGGAGGAAAATCAGAGGGAGGTGGATCTCGAGACAGGTAATTATGCTGTGGACGCACCAGTGTCCTTTACACCCAATTGGGCTAGATGGCAATACATGCCCACCTCATCTCTTCTATTGGGTCTATCTGGTAGGAAGGAAACTCAGGGTCCCAGGTGGTCTCATCCCTTACTGAGGAACATTCTTTTACCTCTTGACTGGCGAACTCCATCCTGTCCAGCAATGAAGTAAACCCCGACAGCAAGGAAGGAAATGCTGATGATTTCAGCGAAGACAAAGCCAGATACAGTGCCTGCATTCAGGTCAATGCAGTTCTGACACACTGTGGGGAAAGGGAGGGACAATACTCCGTCAGGGTGTGAAAGTGGTTCTTCTGAATCTTTTACTCTTGCCTACAGTGCTAATGCCTCCATTTGGGGTAGCAGATTCCTCTCTCTGTGCAAGCTATGGTAAGGGAATTGCCTGGGAAGATCTCTGGACTAAGAATTCAATACACTTGATATCCCTCTGTCCCCCAGGCACCCTAGGGAAGCCTATATAGTCTGACCACCAGGAACTATGTGAAATAGAAGGAAGATCAGATCCCTTTCTCCGTGGTCAACTGCCTTCTACATTTCGTTGCTGCTCCCCTTATAATCCCCTCTGTCTCCCTGGGCTACCCCAACTCAGTTTATATAAATAGCTGACTGCTCCAATCCATGAAGGCCTATCCAAAATTAAACCAGGCTTTACAGGACTGGTTATGCTTTTCCAAGAAGATGGGGGAACTGTCTTGTTATATTCAAAAAGAGGCACGCTGAGATTAAGAGAACGAGAACCACTGAGTGTCTCTTCCCACACTCACCAGGGATAGGAAGCCCACCAGAACAGCAGTACTGCTTAATTGGACAACAAACAAACCGAAGGGGATTACATACTTCTGTAATATACTTGGAGTGGTTTTGAAATGTTCTTTGATCCTTGACACTGATATATCCCTTGAGGGTCCTTGATACTGCTTCCCAGATCAAACTTGTTTTTATTTTTATGCGACGAAGTTGTTGCCTTCCCGTCTTTAAACCATGTGACATTTGTGTCTTGTGAGTCACAAATCAGAAATACCAAACCATCTTCTCGTTTGTCATCCACTTTTACCACAGGAACTTCTGAAAAGGGAAAAGCCACTGTCCGTTAAGGATCTTTCCTCTGAAATTTTCCCTGCCCCAAGATATCACAACAAGACCATTTGTAGTGGTGGTTCTCAAACTTTAATGTGCACATGGACCACATGGGGAATCTGGTGAGAATTTCAGATTCTATTTAGTAGTTCTGGGAAGGAGATGAAATGGGGCATTTCTAACATGATGCCAATGGTGTTGTTTCATGGGTCCCACTTTGAATAATGCCTAGCTGCTGGGGTCCTGTTTCTACTTGAAGAACTAGAGAGTTAATTGTTTGGCTACAGGAAAGGTGCCCGGAAAGGTGCCCAGAAAGGTCATGACTGGCCACTCATTTGGTTGACAATGAGAGGTTTGCTATTATCACTTATCATCCCATCCCCTCTGTCACTCAGTCTTATAGGACTATTAGCATAGGAACCATATTTCTGTGAATTTTCTCAGTGTTTGAGGATGTAAAGCAGCCATTCAGCCTACCTTGTTTCTTCTGGGCTATAGTACCTGTAGAGACAGAAGAGAGACAGAGGATCAGCTGGGCATAGAGTTGTCCAGATGCCCTGAGGTATCATTTCCTTTGTCATTCGAGGCCAAGATAGATTAGATATCCTAATCTCGGAGAGTGGGTAGTATCTAGACTTACTTCCCTGGGTTGTAGCCTACATCACCAAATTGAATTCAGGGTGTTGTATAATAAAGAATTTGTCTGGTCTTTGTCATGGATTCCTAGGAGGGAGTTTCTAAACCCTTGGAATTTCATGAGTGATAGGGGTGTCTTTTTTATTCTTGGCGGGCTTTTTTTTTTTTTTTTTTTAAGATTTGTTTATTTGAGAGAAAGCACGAGAGAGCACATGAGGGGGAGAGGGCTTGAGGGAGAGGGAGAGAGAGAGAAGCAGACTCCCTGCTGAGTACGGAGCCCCACTCACCCTGAGATCATGATACGAGCCAAAATCAAAAGTTGGACGCTCAATGGACTGAGCCACTCAGATGCCCCTTGGTGGGCTTTTGGACCATACATGAATTTGTTTTACGAGATGACTCAGGATGGGGCTGGTCAAGACCCGTGTAATCTGGGAATTTGAGCCCTGGGAGGGGAAGGGAGCTGGAGATCGAGTCCAGTCACATGGCCAATAATTCAATTATACCTGTGTCATGAAACTCCAATAAAAACTCAGTGGAGGGGCGCCTGGGTGGCTCAGTTGGTTAAGTGTCTGCCTTCAACTCAGGTCATGATCCCAGGGTCCTGGGATCAAGCGTGCATTGGGCCCCCTTCTCAGTGGGAACTCTGCTTCTCCCTCTCCCTCTGCCTGCCACTCCCCCTGCTTGTTCTCTCTCTCTCTCTGTCAAATAAATAAATAAAATCTTAAAAACAAAACAAAACAAAACAAAACTCAGTGGCGGGGTCCCTGGGTGGCTCAGCTGGTTGAATATCTAACTCTTGGTTTTGGCTCAGGTCATGATCTCTGGGTGGTGAGATCAAGCCCCGTATTGGACTTTGTGCTGGGCGCAGAGCCTGCTTGAGATTCTCACCCTCTCTCTCTGCCCCTCCCCCTGCTCCCTCTTTCTCTTAAAAAAAAAAAAGTCAAGAAAAAAAAAAAACCCACCTTAGTGGAGCTTCCTGGTTGGTGAATGCATCAATGTACCAGGAGGGTAATATATTCTGATTCCACAGGGAGAGAGCACAGGAGCTCTGTGTTCAGGGCCCTCTCAGACCTCACCTATGTGTCTCTTCATTTGGAAAATCCTGATTTTATTTTTTATAATTAAACTGCAATAATAAAGGGGTGCCTGGATGGCTCAGTCATTAAGCATCTGCCTTCAGCTCAGGTCGTGGTCCTGAAGTTCTGGGATTGAGCCCCGCGTTGGGCTCCCTGCTCAGCAAAGAGCTTGCCTCTCCTTCTGCCCTTCACCCTGCTCGTGCTCTCTCTCTCTCTCTCAAATAAATAAATAAATAAATAAATAAATAAATAAATAAATCTTAAAAAAAAATCTGAACTGTAATAGTAAATATGGTGCTTTCCCGAGTTTTGTGAGTTGTTCTAACAAATTGTCAAATCTGGGAACCCTCCAGATTTGTACCCAGTTTGTCAGAAGTGTAGGTGGTATAGGAAGCCCTGAACTTGTACCTGGAACTTAAAGTGAGGGCATTCTTGTTGGGCACAGTGCCCTTGACCTGTGGGGTCTGCTGTTAACTCCGGATGGTTAGCATTAGAACTATACTGCAATATACATAAAGGTATTGCCTGTTACAGTCTAGAATGCTCTGTTTTTTTTTTAGCAGCTAAAGCTCTGGCAAAAAGTGGGGTTACACTAACTAAAGACTTCTAAAATCCTCAGCCTTGGTGATCCATTTTTTGTAGGAACCTTGGACATCCTAGGGGAGGTAGCTATTCAGTAGCCCTCAGATCTGTGTCAAAACTCAGAGTAGTAGAGTTGCACTGGTAGATGTACTACAGAGAACTAGCACCGGAATTCCGTTCAATTGGATCGAATGCAAACATTTACCATGCACTATGATGTACCTGGCATGATTAAGCAATGTGAAAAGACAAATGTGGTGATACAAGAACTAACTCGCTGCTTCCAAAGAGTTTACAATGAAGTAGGAAAAATAAATACACATGTAATTAATATAATAGAACTTAGAAATTACCTTTAGTACTCATGTGAATGCATTTGAAAGGGGCTAGAAGCTATTGATTTTGCCCCAGAGTCAGGGACAGGGAAAACTTAACAGAGAAGGTGACATTTGGTTGGGCCTTGAATGATTAGGTATTCACCGGACAGAGAAAGGCATCCTGGAGCAAAGACACAGGTTGGAAAAGGACAGAGAGGTAGTGTGTCTAGAGGTGGAGTGCGTGATGGGGACAGATGAAGCATGAATCAAAGTACGAAGGGAAAAAAAGTATGATGGAAACAGTTGGAAGGAGTCAGTTGTTTTAGAATCTCTTGCAGGACTGAACTGATTATTAATAGTACCTAGCATAGTGTTTGGAACATGGTAGGAGCTTTATATTTGTTGAATGAGTGCATGAATGAATGAATGAGTGAATAAAAGAAAAAAAAGGCAAGGCAAACAGTTATGCAGATTTCTCACCAGCGGTTCTCCCTGACCACCTGATCATCATGGGAGGAACAAAGAGGCCCCTCGTTCTAACTCCGATTCTATAGGAGAGAGGGTCCAACTGATTGCTGACATCCTTTAATTTTGTTTCTCTGAGTCTTCTTTCTTTTTAGGATTTGAGAGCTCTTGTATCCAAATTTCCTAGGTTGACTTGTAAGAGGACAGAGCCCATAGGAAGGAGGCATCCTCCAAGTTCACACAGCTCATAGGTGACTGAGCTGGACCCAGAGCTCAGGTTTCTGTTGCTCTTTCTGCTATATCTATCTGCCTCACACAGGCTTTCAGCCCTGCCCCTCTACCTGTGTGATCTTTTGTGGCTCTTTTCCCATTTCCTGCAGAAATCATTCTAAACTCTCACTATCCTCCTCAAGTCCCTCACTCAGCGATCACCCAGCTCAGTTTCAGCAAGCAACATCGTCTGCCACTTAGGTCGTTGAGAATGTAGATGCTGTAATGATCCTCTCCAGCTTCCTGACCATCTACACACCTACCCATGGCCAAAGCCATTTGCACTTCATTTCTCCTCATCTCAGAGGGTAAGTTTGCCTTCTCCTCTGTGTCCTCGACCCCACTCTTGACTCCATCCTTTCAACATCAACTCCAGGAACTTACTCTCTATGTTTTCCTTTAGCCTAGAAATGTGCTCACATTTCTCTCACACTCAAAAATATTTCATCTTAGATCCTGTTTCCTTTTCTACTTACCCTCAAACTCTCTTCTCTTCTCATCCAAACGTCTTTAAAAATAGTCTGTACTTGGTGTACCAAGTATTAATCACCCGCCCTCACCTTCTACACATTTCTATTCGGTTTCCACTCATACTACCCCATTGAAAGTGTTATAAATCATCCATGGCCTTTATTTTGCCAAATCCCACAGGCTTAAACTTTTAAACATATTCTTCTATCAGCAGGACATCTCTATAATATTTCATTATTGGTGATTCTTTCCTGCTGGAAGCTCTCTACTCCCTTGGTTTCTATGGTATTGCACTCATCTGATTATCCCAGCTCTTTGATCGTCCTCTTATCTCTTTTCTGAGATGTTTTCCTCTAACTACCCTTTAAAGGTTAATATCCTCTCAGTTCCATCCTCAGCCCCTCTTCCTCACATCTCACGTAGTACTTGTATGATTTCAACAACTTTCGTGGTTTTAGCTTCCCCCAGTGTGTGGAGAACCATCTCTAGTCCAGATTCTGGGCATCGACACGGTTCATCCACTTCCTGTTGCTTATTTCCAACAGAATATTCATATAGGCGTCCTATATTGCACCTTTTACTCAGTCTGGTGACACTGAAGCTTATTTCTCCAATTAGACTATAAGCTCACTAGGGCAGAAGCTTTTTATTCATCCTTATATCTTCCTAGCCTATCATGTAATAGGATCTCACTCATATTTGTTGATCAGTTGACCAACTGACCAACTGAGTGAGTGAATGCCTTATAGGTCTCCTCCTAACTCCAGCTCTGAGTTAAGGAACACATTTTCTCTTTTCAGGTTCCTGGCCTGTGTCCCTTTGGGCTACAAGCAACCTAAGATGGCGGCATCCGGGTCCTCCCTCTAGCCAGTAAAGTCCTTTGATTTCATTTCTTAAGAGACAAGGACCCCAGCTCTCCCATGGGACACTGCTTCTCTCTAAGAGAGAACAATAAGAGGCTTCATTTTTGCCCTTCCTTCTCAGAATTCTAGTGCGACAGCTGAGGTAGGCTTGAGGTTAGAGATCCCAATAGCCTTCCTCTCCCTGTAATGATCTCTTCCCCTGAGCCTTTCTCCGGACTGCCAGAACCCCATACCTTGAAGAAGAGTGACAGCCAAGATGAGGCCAGCCAGATACTTCCCCAGCTCCATGTCAGTCTCTGCCTTTCCTCCCGAAGAAGCACTAAGCAACTCCCAGCAGCCAGCCTGCCTTAGAGCAGCTAGTCTGGCCCCGCCCAGCATCATTCAGGCTGGGGCCCCTGAGAGAAGGCACGAATCCGGAGCCACCACCCTCTACTTCAAATGTGGGCAGCGAGGGGCCTCAGCGAGGCTGCAGGTGCATATGTATCTTGCTTTCTGTGAAGGAGTAGAGAATGGAAGGTGGTGGGAGGGAAAGGCAGAGAGTGATGGATCCCCATCTCAGAGACAGCTTGCACAGAAAAACCCCTTGGGTTCTGGGTAGGAGATGGCTTGGGCCCATTTCCTCATGAGAGGGGTAAACATCTCTGCCACCGCTGGTTGCTAGGACGTCAGCTGGTTGTTGCTTCTTGCTAGAACTAATGAATTTAAGTGAGAACACTCATGTGTGCAAGGCTGGAGCTCTGAGCAGAAAACCACCACGGTCCAGGCCCTTGTTCAGGAATTTTTCACTGCTTTTTTGAGACAAGATCATCAAAAAGGTGCCTGCCTGGACAAGAATAGGCAGGACAATTGCAATGAGATAAGCCCTACATTTCCAGGGGCCAGAGCCTGAGCTGAGTTTCCAGGATCTTAGGCCCCTGTCTTCCTCAGCCGGTCCATCAGTGAGTCAACAAAAATCTGTAGACCTCTCGTTACGTGCCAGGCACAAGCCAGGTGGTGGAGCTACAGAAGGCAGCAAGACATATGCTATCTCTGGACTGAGCCCCACTTGAAAGTCCTTCTCAATGCTAGCTTTACTTCACCAGGCAGAGTTGTCAAGGAGGGCAGGGTTGGGATGTAGCACAGGGTTTGGGCTTGGGAAACAGGCTCTTGGCTTTGACTGAGTCCAGCTAGGTGAACATGTTGGCCTTGAATGTCTCTCTAAAGGCCTTAGGCCAGAGATCTGCAGGAAATGTGCAGTCTGCGGGGGCCTGAGCCTAGGGCTGGTAAGGGAGCACTGTTCAGGTAAATTACAGTCCAACTCCAGGGGTGTACAGAGTTTGGATCCCCATAGGCCACAGGGGAGAAAAGTCCACTTGTCTCCTGGGGAGGCTCAATCATACTCTGCCTGTGAGTCAATCATACTGTTATTAATAACTATCTCTTATTGAGCAAATGTGATATATCTCACGCACCAGGCAAACTTTTTGTCCAAATCCTTATTGGGGTACTGAGGAAATTAGGCTCTGAAAAATTCCATAATGGGCCCAGGGCCAGTGGGTAGGCAGTATTGGAGCTGGGATTCAAATGTCTGGTTTGGGAGGCTCTAAAGCCCAACCTCTCACTGGTAAGAAGCTGCTTAGTCTGGTGTCCAGGCTGCCCAAGGAGGACCTTGGGCAGGGTCCCAAGAAAGACCAGAACTGGGAGGAACCTTGCTGGTATGGCTTATGGGATGGGGCTCACACTTTCTCTCAAGGGTTTTGAGCTGGCAGTTTTCAGGGGGTGACTAAATGTAGTTACACTGTTGACAAAAACTCTGAAATTACTGGTTTTCATCCGTGACTCGGGAAAGAACATCCTAAATCTTCTTTTACTTCCTAGAGGTCTAGGCAATCTTTTCCACATTCTCTGCTCTCTCTTCCACCTCATCCCCAAGCTCAGTGCTCGGAGAAAGAGCAATTTGCACCTGCTTCCTTCCTACCCCACCCCCAGTCTACCCCTACCCTGACAGTCTCCCATGATCAACGGCAGAGAGCAGAGAAACAGGCGTCTTCTGGTTCCTCCCCGCCCCTTTACTTTTTCCGGGTACCCGTGAGTCCGTTGGGGGAGGGCATCTCTCACCCTGGCTGATAGTTCTGTGACCTGGGTCTACCTACTGAAGGAATTCTGCTGGAAAATGGAACACTGTACGTTTCTGGCTGGCGTGATACTGGCTGTCCTTCTCTCCCAAGGTAAGGCTTCTCCAGGTGGTGGGGGCATCTTGGAGAAGGGACCTGAGAGGGACATTAGCACCTGGACTGAGCCCCACTTGAAAGTCCTTCTCAATGCTAGCTTTACTTCACCAGGCAGAGTTGTCAAGGAGGGCAGGGTTGGGATGTAGCACAGGGTTTGGGCTTGGGAAACAGGCTCTTGGCTTTGACTGAGTCCAGCTAGGTGAACATGTTGGCCTTGAATGTCTCTCTAAAGGCCTTAGGCCAGAGATCTGCAGGAAATGTGCAGTCTGCGGGGGCCTGAGCCTAGGGTTGGTAAGGGAGCACTATTCCTTCTAAGACAGAGAGTCTCTGGGATCTAGGACTCTTAGTCATTTGGCCATCATTTGTCACCACCAGGAGCCATGGCCCAGTACTCGGGGATGTTTTAAGAGAAAGTTAACTTGAGGTGGAGAAGGAAGGAGGGTAGATCTGGAGCGGTAGGATGATCAACTCATCTTGGTTTGCCTGGTGTTAAAACTGATAGTGCTTTGTCCCAGAAACCCCTCAATCTCAGGCAAACTGGGATAAATGCTTCGGGATATTCAGGATTTCCAATGGAAAGAGATCCCCATGGAAAGCGTGGCTGTAGGATGTGAAGCATCTAATGTACATGTATCTTCCTGAGATATACTCATATAATCTTGGCCTGCTTGAGACACATGAGAAACAGCTCTTTTGGGGATTTTCCAGAGGATGTTCTTGTATTCAAATTGGTAACTGAATATGAATTCAGGGAAAATCTGGATTCCACTTTTCCCTGGGATTGGAGACACAGATCCCCTCTGTGGGCTATGGAGATGCTCTCAGTCAAAAAAATCCAGTGGATCTAGAGAGGTGCTGTGCATACCTCCAGCCCTTAAGCTCCCTATAAGTCTTGACTTGTATGGAGCCCCAAGAATGAATTTGATAAAAAAATTTTTTCTACCTCCCTCCCCTTAAGCAAGGGTAGAACAACTAAAAATCTTTACATGAGATTTGCCCTGGGTCTCCTTCTGGAATAATTCATACCAGCTTCTCTCCTACTCCAACCATCACCGGTCCTGGGAAAGACTTTAGTAGTGAGAGTCCCATTCTCTTGGTAGTTGGGGCAGGGGCAAAGAAGGAGGGAAAAGGGTGAGAAGTTGAAGTGGGAGGGTTGTAGATGGCTGGGAAGTAGAATTAGAAGTTTTGTTGGAGGGGCACCTGGGTGGCTTAGTCAGTTCAACGTCTGCCTTCGGCTCAGGTCATGATCTCAGGGTAAAGGGATTGAGCTCCTCGTGGAACCCCTCGTCGAGCCGCTCCTTGGGCTCCCTGCTCAGCAGGGAGGCTGCTTCTCCCTCTGCCCCCCCCTCCTCCCCTGCTCCTTTTCTCTCCGTCTCAAATAAATAAATAAAATCTTAAAAAAAAATAGTTTTGTTGGAGAACAAATGTGGCCATCTCCAACCAAGGAACGTTCTTCTGCCTTTCCATATCTCTTGGGTGCTTCAGCAGTCTACACTCCCCTTCTACTTCTAATCAGTGGTCTGAACTCATTTCCAGGAAGGTTCTTGGATCCGCCCGGCTCTACGATTTCCTCTTTTGCTCCATGTCCATCAGGGTCTGTGCTCTGCTCGGACTGAATCCTTGCATCCTTCCTGGCCCCGGCATTTCATGGGGAGCCTCCCAAAGCCTTTTTCTTGTGACTTCTGTCTCTCTCACTAAACCATAAATTGTCCTAGACTTAGAAAGTGGTCCTTTTTAAGTATAAACCTCAGCAGCATAAGGCATCTGCTGCAGACCAAACAGCTGGCTGCAATCATGGTTGGGTTTTGTTGTTGTTGTTGTTTGCCCTGTAGTGAGCCCCTACAACATAATCGTGGAGGAACTTGAGGACAAGGTGTTCCTGAATTGCAATACCAGTATCATTCTGGTAGAGGGAACGAGGGGAACACCATTCCCACATGATAAAATGTGGAACTTGGGAAAACGCATCCTGGACCCACGAGGAGTGTATCGGTGCAAGGGGACAGATGAACAAGACGACAAAACACCTTATATGCAAGTATATTATCGAAGTATGTGCCTTCTGGACCCTTTGGGTTGAAATGAATGGGACCTCTGGATATGAGAACCTTATAGCCAGAGGGGACTGTGGTGGACCAACCTGTTCTCTAAACAAAGTGGGGGTCACTCTTGTAATGGGAGGAGCCAGACTTTGGAGCTTAACTAATGGAAAAAACAGCAGGGGCCTTATGACTCAAGCAGTAGAGCCTTGGTTGGGAGAGTGGCTTGGCCTTGCTGCCTTGTCTACATTCTTACAAAGCTGATACTGCTTCTTGACCCTTCTCAGGGATTCCTTGGGATTAAGGGCAGAGGGGGATGTAGCCAGGGCATCAGCAGGCCTTTCTCCAGGTATCTTACTGCAGTTTAGGTCTTGGTATGAGGTCCTAGGGTTGCCCTAGGAGACAGAAATGGTTGCTGGTCTTGAAGGCTCTCCAGCTCTCCTCTGGCCCCTCTTCCCCTCAGTGTGTCAGAACTGTGTGGAGCTGGACTCAGCCACCCTGGCTGGTATCGTCATCACTGACATAATCGCCACTCTGCTCTTTGCTTTGGGAGCTTATTGCTTTGCTGGACATGAGACTGGAAGGCTCTCTAAGGGTAAGTGGACGGGACAGAGTGTGTGTGCGTGTGTGCATGCACATGTATGTTGTGGGTGTGGGTATGAGTGTGCACCTGCTAAGACCGGGGCTGGCAGTGGGTTGTGTCTCATGTGGGAGTCACTCTCGCATCTCCTAACAACTCCTAAAACTGGTTATTGGAAGACTTGTGCCCATATTGCCCATGCAGACTTCTGAGGGTACAACAAGCTGTAGTCCTCCTGCAGTGGTCATGGGGTCTCAATGTCCCATCCTCCTAGGCCCTTGATGACTCTTTCCCCCTGTTTCTTCTAGCTGCTGACTCTCAAGTTCTGTTGGAAAATGACCAGCTCTATCAGGTGAGCCCTAAAGGGAAAGAGACATGAATGGGAGGGGGTGAAGAGCCTGACGTTAGGTGTTATGTGTACGGATGAAGGGTCCTAGTGGGGAACTCATCACTGGCGGGGCTGGAAAACTCAGGCATGGGCTCTCATCTCTGGGGCCTACTGGGGTCTTCCCTGGAGAAACTGACCCTACCTCACTGTTCCCTCTCACCTCCTAGCCCCTTCGAGATCGGAATGATGCTCAGTACAGTCATCTTGGTGAAAACTGGCCTCGGAAGAAGTGAACCTGAGACCGGTGGTTTATGGGAGTATCGACTGTACCTTCTTCCCTTGCTCAGCCAATAAAGATGTCTTCTTCCACTCAGCAGGTGCCTGGACTTTTCAAGGCTCTTGGGCAAGGCATGGGAGTTGTTCTGCCTTGGCTGGACCCTTGCCTTCCCTGTCCACCTGTGTCCTTCCTTCATTGCTTCCATTCCTCTGCCCCAGATGGACAGTGTGATGGGCAGTCTCTCACCCCATTCTGGCCCACTGGTGTTTCTGGCCCGGTGGGCTCCCTGGGGATGGGGTCTGCTCCACCACTCTCCCTCAGATACTTGTTGCCTCCAGCCCCCTATTACAGCCCCTGAAGGGCTTTGGTTTCCTTACCACAGTTGAGGGCAGGCTGCTATGTTTACAGACCCAGCCACACAGAAGTTTCCATGACATCATGAGCAGAGGAGGTGGAAACATCAAGGGCCCAGGAGATCACTCCTTTTTTTTTTTTTTTTTTTTTAAGATTTTATTTATTTATTTGACAGAGAGAGACACAGCGAGAGAGGGAACACAAGCAGGGAGAGTGGGAGAGGGAGAAGCGGGCTTCCCGCCAAGCAGGGAGCCCGATGTGGGGCTCGATCCCAGGACCCTGGGATCATGACCTGAGCTGAAGGCAGACACTTAACGACTGAGACACCCAGGCGCCCCCCAGGAGGTCACTTCTTATCAAGACTTGGAGAGCATGTGTGACAAAGTCCCACTTCTGCTAAGGGGCTGGCCTTGGCTTTATGACCCCCATGGAGTGGTAGCCACTAGCTGTGAGGAGGTTTCAATGTAGAGGCCCGTTCAGGAACCTTTACTCCTGTAGAGAAGGTACCATTCACCTTTCTCTCCTCGGAATCTGCCCTGTCCCGCCCCTGTCTTCTGCATGGTAAACTAATACCAGAAACTCATTACCCTTCCTCATCCGCTTAGAAAGCTGGAATTGGGGAGTGGACAGGGGCTTGGGATATTTTCAATGGATGTCATCTTCAGCTAGTGGGTTGGTGGTGGTTCTGAAACCTTGGGAGCCTGAAGGATTTATTAAAAACATAGACACTTGGGCTCCACTCTAGGCATGTAGCCCCCAGGTGATTCTGAAGCAGCCCCAATATAGAGAGTCTCCGGTTTAGAGGAAGAACTGAGGCCATTGAAGCTTTCGTGTCCTTTATGCTCGTTCCTGTCTACCACAGGGGCAACCCCTCCTTTTGTTCTCTGAGTTATGGTAACTGAAAGAACTTCGGGACAGTTTTGTGTTTTTTTTTAAATTTATTTTTTTTTAAAGATTTTATTTATTTATTTGACAGAGAGAGAGAGAGCGACAGCAGGAACACAAGCAGGGGGAGTGCGAGAGGGAGAAGCAGGCTTCCTGCCGAGCAGGGAGCCCGATGTGGGACTCGATCCCAGGACCCTGGGATCATGACCTGAGCCGAAGGCAGACGCTTAACGACTGAGCCACCCAGGCGCCCTTTGGGACAGTTTAATAAGAGTGGGAGTTTCCAAGACCAAGGTTCCCAAAGTGGGAAAGAAAGAATGAACAACCACACAGCCAGAGATCTGGATGATTCTGCCCACTATTTTCCTGAGCTATACACAGATGCTGATTTTGTTAGAGACAGAATGAACTTCCAATGTACACAGGCTTCATTCGTGGTTATGGCTTTATACCGTTTACATCCCTAGGACTGTAGTCCTTTGCAGCCTGCCTCCCACTTTCCACATTGGATCCCTCCGCCTTGGGGAACTTTCCGGTGACTTCTACTGCACCCAGTACTTGTCTCCTTCCAACACCCTGCACACTTCCCTTCACCTTGTAGTCCTTGTAGGCTCTTATATCCCCCCATACCTCTCACTAGTTCTCAACATTGCATGCACTTGGGAATCTCCAGAGCTTCTGATTATCTTGGGCAAAGGCATCAGGACTTTCAAAATGGCTTAAGGTGATTCCATGGTGAAGCCAAGGTTGAGAAAACTGCCCTCCACCTAAGCCCTTCTGGAAACTTGTGTCCTTTGGTTCTCTTTTTTGTTTTTAAAGTTATTTATTTATTTATTTATTTATTTATCAGAGAGAGAAAGAGAGAGCAAGAGAGCACAAGCAGGGGGAGTGGCAAAGGAAGAAGCAGGCTCCCCGCTGAGCAAGGAGCCCATTGCAGGACTCGATCCCAGGACCCTGCAATGATGACCTGAGCCGAAGGCAGACGCTTAACTGACTGAGCCACCCGGGTGTCCCTCTTTTTCTGTGCTTTTAATAAACAGCTTTACTGGGGCGCATGGGTGGCTCTGACATTTGAGTGTGCGACTCTTAATTTTGGCTCAGGTCATGATCTCAGGGTTGTGAGATCAAGACCCGTGTTGGGCTCTGCACTCAGTGGGGAGTCTGCTTGAGATTCTCTCTCTTCCTCTCCCTCTGCCTCTCTCCCTACACACACACTCTCTCTCTCAAATAAATAAATCAATCTTAAAAAAAAAATAGCTTTACTGAGGTAAATTGACAGGAATAAATACATATATTTAAAGTATAAAATGTGATGTTTTGTCATATGTATACACTCGTGAGACATCAACACAATAAAGGTAATGAAGATATCCAACACCCTGAACAGTTTCCTTGTGCCCCTTTGCCTGCAATCCCTCCCTTATCCCTCTACCCTCCAGGCAACCACTGATCTGCTCTGTCATTATAGATTAGTTTTTGTTTTTCTAGATTTTTATATACATAAGTATACTAATGTAACATGTACCCTTTTTTGGTCTGGCTTCTTACACCTCAGCATAATTATTTTGAGATTCATACATCTTGGTACATCTACAATATTTTATTCCTTTATACTGTCCAGTAGTATTCCATTGTATATACCACAGGATATTTATCTATTCACTTGTTGATATTCTTTTGGATTATTTCCTGGTTTGGGCTATTACAAATAAAGCTGTCATGAACATTCACATGTAAGTTATTGTGTGGACATATGCTTTTATTTCTGTTGGATAAATACTCAGGAGTGGATAGGCTGAGATGCAACTTCAAAAGAAAGTAGTTTGGCTGTTCTAGGTCTTTTGTAATTCCATGTGAATTAGCTTCTCAGTTACTACAAAATGCCTGCTGGGATTTTGATCAGGACTGTGTTGAATTTATAGATCTGCTTGGGGAGACTCAACATCTTAATGATATTGACTCTGCCAATCCACAAACACATCTTTTGTCAGATTTATCCCTTAAGTATTTTATATTTTTTTATGCTCTTTTATATGGTATTTCTAAACTTTCAATCTCCAATTGTTCATTGATAGTATCTAGAAATATAGTTGTTTTGTATATTGATCCTGTACCCTGAAAACTTCCTAAATTCACATATTAATTATAGTACCACTTTTTTTTTTTTTTTTGTAAAGCCCATCAGAATTTCTACATAATGATCATGTTGCTTGCGAATAAAGACAGTTTAACTTTTCCATTTCCAATCTGGATGTATTTTACTTCTGTTCTTTGGCTTATTGCAGTGGCTAGAAACCTCCAGTACAATGTTGAATAGAAGTGAGGATGTTTTTGCCTTATTTGTGATCTTAGGGGGAAACATTGTCTTTCATCATTAAGGATGATATTCGCCATAGGTTTTTCTTAGATGCTCTTTAACAGATTGAGGATATTCCGTTCTCTTTCTAGTTTGCTGGGGATTTTTAGTAAAAATAGTTGAGTATTGTCAAATGCTTTTTCTGCATCCGCTGAGATGATTATATGGTTTTACTTCTTTAGTCGGTTAATATGATAAATTACGTTGGGGGCATGATTTGTTGCACCGAACCTACATTCCTGAAATAAACTGTTCTTGGTCATTATGTATTATTCTTTATTATATATATATATATTTTTTTTTTTTTTTAAAAGATTTATTTATTTATTTATTTGACAGAGAGAGAGAATGAGAGAGGGAACACAAGGAGGGGGAGTGGGAGACGGAGAAGCAGGCTACCTGCTGAGCAGGGAGCCTGATGCGGGGCTTGATCCCAGGACCTGAGTCGAAGGCAAAGGCTTAATGACTGAGCCACCCAGGCGCACCACCCCCTTTCTTAAGTAAAGTCTACTCCCAACGTGGGGCTTGAACTCACGACCCCAAGATCAAGAGTTGCATGCTCCACTGACTGAGCCAGCTGGGTGGCCCTATTCTTTTTTTTTCTTTTTATATATTATTAGATTAAATTTGTTAAAATTTAGTGAAGAATTTTTGCATCTATTCATAAGGAATATTTGTCTGCAGTTTTTTTTTCTTGTAATGTTTTTGCCTGTTTTATTTTACTTTTTAAATTTTATTTATTTGACAGAGAGAGACACAGCAAGAGAGGGAACACAAGCAGGGAGAGTGGGAGGGGGAGAAGCAGGTTTCCCCGCGGAGCAGGGAGCCTGATGCGGGGCTCGATCCCAGGACCCTGGGATCATGACCTGAGCTGAAGGCAGATGCTTAACGACTGAGCCATCCAGGCGCCCCTGTTTTTGCCTGGTTTTGACATCAGGCTTTGTCATTAGGGTTCTCTAGAGAAACAGAACCAACACAATGTGTATGTAGGAGATGGAAGAGAGAGAAGGAAGGGAGGGAAGAGAGGAGAGAGAGAGAGAGTTTTATTTTATTTTATTTTTGTCTCCCCTGAGCACTTAGCACAGTGCTGGTCTGCGACATGAGTGATGAGAAAAGCACTCGCTGCAGGAGTGCCTAAGTGATTAAATACAGAACTTGAAAGCCAGGAAACCCGAGGGCATTCTTTATGATCACTGTCAGCACCGGCACTGGGTAGATGTTCAGAGCGTTGGAGTTGGACAGTCCTGCCTGTTCATTCCTGCTCCCTCACTCACTAGCTGTGCAACTTGGGCAAATAACTTAACCTCTCTGAGTCTCTGTAGCCTCATCTGTAAAAGGAGGACACCATCCATCTTGTCTACTTCGTTGCGCTAAGGATTAAATGAGATAAGGCATGGAAAGTGCTGAGGGTGATTTCAAGAGCCTAGTCAGTGCTCACTAGCCCTTAGCTGTTACTGCTTTTCTCACCCTGAGCCATACGTCCCCTTCCTGGAACATGATCAGGTGCACCTGGGACAAGAGCGCCAGCCTGCTGGTCAGCAGCTAGTGAGTGAGCATCTGGTGTTGTGCACAG